AAGAAAATTTAAAAATATGGTATAACAGAGCTCACTGCCTCACACTGTCGATAGCAGCATTTCTTTTTAACCTTATTTCATTTAAGGCTCAGACGATCATCTGTTTCCACTTAAAGTAGTCTAGCTCTGATATCACTTTAGCCTCTGGATGGAGGATTTGCTATGTTAACTTATAGATAATAAACTCAACGTATTACAGACCAAAACCAAACACGTCCGTAGTATAAGACTGGATTTAACTCCCTTCACACCTGTCTCGACACAACAGTCAGGTCAGTCCCTTCCCTTTTAAGAAATCCACCTTAAATGTATTTTAAATGTAAGTGATGCAAAATGAATTTAATATTTTATCTTTAGTTTGTCAGGTAGCATCAGGTCAGATGGATGATGTTGGGTGAGATGGAGCAGACAGAGATGTCATCACAGCTGAGAGGAAGCAAAAGCCTCAACATCCAGGCTTAAAAGTGATGTAGGGAGCTAAAGCTAAAGCTCTGCTTTCTTTGTGTGCTTGTGCTAACAGCAACTAATGAGAAATGTGATGACAATTGTCCAGCTTTGTCCTTTTATATTCTACCAAATGTGAAGTGAACCTGTGGTTATACAGTAACGATAAGAGCATCTTTATTAGTCCCACATGTGGGAAATTTGTTTTGTTACAGCAGGAAGTGGACAGTGCAGTTACATAGCAAACATGAGAGAACCCTGGAATAGAATAAGAAACTGTACACAACTGTACCCAATAGAATAGAATAGAATGATAGGATAAAAATAGAATACACATGCTATATACAACTGAGTACAAATACAACGTTGTCAGAAAAAGAGTGTTACACTTAGTCCTATTGCACATGTGTGTGTTTGATCAGCTGCAAAGTCTTTGTGGTGGAGTCTGACAGCAGAGGGAGGAAATCTCTCCGCCCACATCGTGGGTGCTGCAGCCACTGAAGGAGCTGCTCTGAAGTGCTATAAAGGTTTGTGATGATCAATACAGGTTTACAGCTCAGATCATACTGAGTTCATTATGACTGATATAAATATGTGATAGAAGAATAATAAATCGAGTAAATTGTGATTGACAAACAGTTTTAAAGAGAAAGTTTGTTAGTTTAAATTGTGTGAAAGGTCAGAGATGGAGAGAACACCAGGCTGGGGCTGAATATCAGTGTATTACATGCAAATCTGATTGGATGACAGGACAGAGCATAAACTGAAGCTGGCATGGATGTTCTGGGTCTCCTGCCTCTGTGAGATCAGCAGGTCAAAGATTCAATAGCAAAACTTGGTTGTTCCAGCAGCGACGCCGAGGGCAGTGAGCTCTAAAAGCCTCCCAGATGAAAACGTGCCCGATCGAGAGGTGATCTGCTGCTGATGGGTGACGAACCTACTCAGGTCTCCAGCTCTTATCAGAGGAGGCAGTGAAGACACCTGAGCTTCAAGGCAGTCGGGCTGGGCGAGTCTGTGATGACTTTTATCTAAGTACAATCTGAGTATTTTACCTGTAAGTAATCTTACAGTATTATGTTATATTGTGAGTCCTTCTTACAGATCTTCCTAGGTTGAAAATTAAACAGTACTAAATGTAACAAGTAGACAGCAGCACTAAAGTCATCAGTTTAATGGACACAGAGGAAGCTTTTCAAAGGCTTAAGAAGAATAACATGATGCTAGAACATCACATTTTATAATATGACAGTAAAAATAACTCACAGAGATCATCTTCTATGTTTTCCTCCATAAGGGCGGCGAGCCTGGGTCCAGCTATTTGAGTGGTGCCTTGTTTTGGTGAAGCTTTTGAATTGCTTGGCCTTTGAGGCCTGCATGGAGCTCAGGCTGACACGAAGCACAGAAAAGGCCCACAGTGGGTGCACACACAGGATACAGATCTGTCAGGTCATGATCAACAACCACTGACCAAAGCCCACTGATCTCTGACCTCCCAGCCCATTCTTCCTTCAGTGGGCTGCTTTCAGTCATTATGCAAATGTTCTGTTTATAAGATTGAGGAAACCTGCAGTCAGCTGAGACTGAAGAAGTCACCTGGATGAGTGACGAAACGTTTCTCCCACAAAACGCTGCGTCCAGATGAACAGAATCAACTTGGAGATTTACTTACCTGGATGATTGAGCATGCATCAAGACGTTTGGCAGCTGTAGCAGTCGTGGAAAATTCCCTCTGTGGCAGAAAATCCTCACAGATGCAGTCTTGATACCAATAGATGGATAAAAACTGGAGGAAATCCTCAGAGGCCTTGAAAACTCCTAAATGGAAGTAGCTTCTTCTGCTGGGTCTATTCTGTTGGTCTGACACTGGCTTCCTTCATTGGCTTCCTGTTAAATCCAGGAGTTGAATTCGAAATCCTGCTCCTCACATACAAGGTCTTAAATAATCAGGCCCCATCTTATCTTAATGACCTTGTAGTACCATATCACCCTATTAGAGCACTTCGCTCTCGCTCTGCAGGCCTACTTGTTGTTCCTAGAGTATTTAAAAGTAGAATGGGAGGCAGAGCCTTCAGTGTTCAGGCCCCTCTTCTGTGGAACCAGCTTCCAGTTTGGATTCAGGAGCCAGACACTATCTCTACTTTTAAGATTAGGCTTAAAAGGCAGAGAGAAACCATTTTTTCCTTGTTGATAAAGCATATAGTTAGCACTGGATCATCTCATCCAATGATGAAATTAGTTCTTTTTATTTTTGCCTGTCCTGATTGGTTCTTTAGCCTTTACCAAGTGGATCATCCATTTGATTGACCTTTGTTTGTTTGCAGAACCAGGAAAAGGGAGGAGACAAGACAAGATGTGGAAGAGAGCCAGAGATGAATAATAACTAATGATTAAATACAGAGGTGACCACCTCTGTATTTATTTCACTCACCACGTGATCCCATCTGCCTGGACTGTCTCTCTAATCTGTTTAAAGCTTTAAACAGTGAAATCAATAACCAACGTGTCCCAGCTGTGTCCCAATTCATTAAAAACAAATAACAGTAAAAGTTATCACAAAAAAGGAGGTAGACTTTAGAAACACTGAAATTTCTAAAGTCTCCACTAAATCAGGGTCAGATGTGTGTGAAGGTCCAAGACGTTTGCTGGATGTGAATTATCATGTGCAATGCTCCAGTTTGACCTCACGGGGGCAGTGTTGTTTTACACTCAGACTGCAGGACATGACAACAGTGTTGGAGTGTGAAAGTAAAGCAGCTTTTCTCTCAGTGTATGCAGAGTGATTTCTGATGACATCAAACTGTTTGTGTGTCTGTTGTCACAGCAGCAGCCATCAGTGACAGCAGCACACAAAAGCAACACAACAGCAGGTTCAGATACTCAGAGCAACAATTCATTTCAATGTCTGACCAGTTTGTAGTTTGTGTTTGAGTTCAGTTTAAAAACTTTAAAATACTGATCACAAGTTTCAAACAAACAACATATAAGAACATAAGATGGAAACAAACAGAGTGAAACAGAGTTGTTTCCTTCCTGGTTTCCTGGTTTTCGTATGTTTGTCACACTTAAATGTTTCAGATCAAACACATTAAAATATTAAACAAAGGAAACACAAACTGAAGTTTGTAAATGAAGATGTTTGTTATTAAGGGAACAAATCCAAAGCTACATCATCCTGATCTGAAACATTTAATAAGTGTGACAAACATACAAAGAACAGGAAATCAGTTTGAGCAGCTGTAATCAAACTGTCAACCTTCACACTTTTTACTAAAACCTTTAATTCTCCACTAACATCACTTTGTATCCACGGTCACTCTAATGGACCCTAGAAAATAAGATAAAACACATTCAAAGACTATTTTGTGTTGAGAAGAAGTTTCTGGCTCTTGTTCTATTTTCTAAAGGAGGCAAACAGCAAACAGGACTCTCCAGCTGCCCCGGAGCAGATTGTAATCATTGCTCTAGACGAGCTTCATCATGTTGCAGACACACCTTCATGCTCAGGGCAGCCGTTACCTGTGTGCTCTAAGAGAAGCAGGAAGATTTAGGGTCAGATTTACTAACATGCGGAGCAGCAGCAGCCGCATCACAAAGTTTAGTATGTTATGTATTTGTAATTTTGAGTTTTATATCTCTTGGAGAGAGATATCTTTTGTATACTTATAAATGCACCATGTGGTAAGCTGTATACTGTGTCTACTGCTGTATTGACAATAAAGCTCTTGAGTCTTGAATGTGTATCTGTAAGAGTGTCACTGTCAGGAGACGTGTCTGTCATAGTTGCTGCTGGGACCGGTTATTACTGGGAGGGAGATGTTATCAGAGTCATCAGAGCTTCATCGGCTCAGAGTCGTTATCGCAGCACCAAATCTTTGTCAGTGAACTGGAATGAGCTGGATCTGAAACAAAGGCAGCTGTTACTGTGTTAGATTCACGTCTGCATGTTGAAACATCTTATTAAAAGTAAAGATGTGCACATACAGGCACGTGTCACAGTGACGCTGAGGATCCTCAGAGAGAGATTTCACTCATTTTCTTTGTCTTTACAAACCAAACTTTTATTTCCAGAGATATAAAAAAAACAAAGTTAACAAAACAGTGTTAAAAAGGGCACAGCCGAGCAAAACACCACAAACACAAAAACAAGCTGTTTAAAGAAGGTCACAGACTCAAGAGTGCAGAAGTGGAGCAAGGTGGAGCAGTTCGGTGATGTAGGTGGAGGCTTCACACTGTCAGGCCATAAAAAACTGATCCTCTAACAGGGGAGAGATGTTTGGAGTTAAAGCTTTGTCAGGCCAGAGAACAGAGCATCAGTTCGTCACACTGACCTCACTGCTGTAGTGATTAAGGACGTCAGAAATCCAGAATCCACTTCAGGACATGTATGACATCATAAAGGCTTCAGCCATGAACTGGGTCTCGTGTGAGCCATATGAGACCCAGTTCTGTCTCATTACAGATGTAATGGGGAAGTCTTTAGGACCCAGGGGACCCAATGGAGGGTATAAAAGAGGAAGTAGCAGCAGGTGCTCTTCATTTTCCACTGACGAGCGGCTGTGAACAATGGTTGTGTGAGTAGGTGAAGAGCCTGAGAAGTTTTAATTGTCTGCTACACAAACAGTTGTTTTAAACCTCTACAGCAGAGGTTCGAGGTACAGGCTGTTTTTCTTTTAGTGTTTTTTAAATTTGTTGAAATGTATTTGATGTTTATTGTATTTTATGTTTTAGTAGTGATTTTTACAAGATAAGCCAAGATAAGCCAGGTGTGCAGCAAACACAGTTGTCTGCTGGAGGTATGTTAACTTAATATATTTGACATTAAAAAAAAGTATATTGATGCACTATAATCTAATTTATATTGTATTGCCTCCTGCAGGGCAGGCTGCACATGTGAATTTGTCACTGTTTTTTTTTCCTCCTTCTCCTTGTTGTTGTGTTTTTGGTTCTGGTAGGGTCACCTTTTAAAACTGTTTTTTTTATGCCGGGTTTGTTTTTACTTCTACTGGGTTGGTGCAATATTAGTCGGGCATTGTGCAATCCCTGAGTGGGGCTCTTACCTTAGGGGAATTAGGATCTTTAGAGGTGCTCTGTGTGGATTTGCAGTGAATAGGTTTTTATTAAGAGTGATTTTTAGTGCCACCGATTATTGCCTGAACTAGCACTTAGTGCATGCGATAAGTGTTCTGTTGGGCTCGTATTTATTTGGGGTGGATTTGTTTCTTTTAAAGCAACGAGCATCTGGACCGCCAAGGGAGAGCAAGCCCTCAGGTGATAGTTGCATTGCTGGCAGGTTGCACCAATAACACTATCTTGTGGTCGTTAGTGACCTTTTACCATTTTGATGTTTTAGGCCTTTTGCAAACCCTTTGTGTTCTTTTAAAATAATAAATTTTAACATATCTGACTGATATTGACCCTCTTGTCCTGTTTATTTTGGGCTCGTTCCTGTGAGAGCTTTGGGCCTGAAAGTTTGCACAAGTAGTATAGAGGCCCTTAGCGGTTACTCGGTGGCTTTCGCTCGCTACACAGATGTACACACGCATGTTTGTGTATCATGTTTGTGAGTTTGTATGAAAATGTTTTCACAGTGTCAAATTTTCCTAAAATCACAACATTCCTTAATTTGAGCCAAACTGGTGGATCTGAAAATCCATCTGAACAGACACGAGTCAAACTTGTCCCGAAACACTGTCAGTGTACGAACGTCTGCAATCTGTACAACAGCATAAAATATTTCAATAGCAATTACATTGTTGTGTATTTTGTGTCAGTTTAAGAAAAGTCATCAAGTTTCAGCCCAAACTGAGTCTATAACAGTTTGTAAACTCTGTCAAATTTATTACGATGGATTTACAAACCACGGAGAACGAAGTACAAGCTGTCTCCCAGTGGGCTGGGCTTAAGGAGGAAAAGTCACATGAGGCAGGAAAAGTCACATGAGGCAGGAAAAGTCACATGAGGCAGGAAAAGTCACACGAGGCAGGAAAAGTCACATGAGGCAGGAAAAGTCACACGAGGCAGGAAAAGTCACATGAGGCAGGAAAAGTCACATGAGGCATCATCAGTTTCTTTCTGTCCTTGATCATCTGTTTTTCATCATGCTGGGTAACAGTGACTTCATGGAAAGTCAGTCTCAGCATTATTCAGCTTTGAATACTTTACAGCCCTTTCAATTATTTTTTTACGTTTTTTCTCTGGTTTTGTTTTCTTGTGCTAAAACCCCTCTCATATTTTCTGCAGATCAGATTAATAAGAAGAGCAACAACAACAAGAAGCACAGCAGAAACTGACAGACCAACTATCAGTCGAACAGATCCGTCCTCCTTCCCTCCGTCCTCCTTCTCTCCAGCCTCCTTCCCTCCAGCCTCCTTCTCTCCAGCCTCCTTCCCTCCAGCCTCCTTCCCTCCAGCCTCCTTCCCTCCAGCCTCTGTGTCTCCTCCTGTGTGACCTGCAGGTGAGAAACAGGTGTGAGGTGTCAGCTGTCAGGTAGGTGATGAGTGAAGAACAGAACAGAATCCGTTTCCTCTTCAAGTTCAGGAGAACAGATTAATACAAACTATTCACAATATGTATAAAGTGAGAAAATACTGGTGGATTTTTCGAGCTTCTTAAAAGGAAACAGATGTTCTGACTAAACATGACTAAAACTGATCCAGCTGTTCTTTATTATTTGACTGGATTAAACGTTTTAAACAAACTTGAAGTCCAGCTCCTTACAATAGTTTTTTACAGTTGTTACACAGACAAACTGTATTATTGTCAGGGTCCTATGTCTGAGCGACCCAGGATCCCTGAGCAGTTATGGACCTGTTATATTACATGTATTTTTGGTGTTGCTGCCCCTCTTCTCCATGTTTGTAGATATGTGTGTGTGTGTGTGTGTGTGTGTGTGTCTGAACTCTTGTTTACAGGCACCTTCAGGCCTGGTGGGTGTGGCCCTGCTAGGGGACTGGCCACACCCGAAGCCACACACCTGCTGCTGATCAGGGCTCGCCGGGGGAGCTACTTAGGAGAGTCTTGGAGCTCCCACAGATGTGGGATTACTGCGTGAGACTCCCAAGTCAGAGTGAGTGAGTGAGTGTCCCCGCGGGGTCAGTGTTTAACGGCTGCCTCTATTGTTTCCTACAGGAGGAACATGGAGAGGAAGAACAGCACGCACAGGGTGTGCAGAGTCACGACAGCGGGGAGCACGAACACGGACGCCAATGGACACACACGGTAGCCTTGGGGAGCACGGGGATTAATTGTGCATCGATATTTACCACACTGTAAATAAACGCTTCCAGATCAGTAACTCTGCTCAGCTGGTCTCATTACAGCGAGAGGGCAGCCATGTTTTTAACACAGCTGCAGTAAAGATACTTTACAATAAGCACTGCCTGTGTTCAGATAAACTGCCAGCTTAGTTTGATTTGATCTAAACCTGACAGAGTGACAGCAGCCGTCCTCTCTCTGTAACAGCAACAACATGCAGGGAGTCTGCTCAGCTACACATGGATTAAACTCTGAGGTTAAACTATCAGGACATAATAGAAGTCAGTGAATTAATAAATAACAAACTAGCTCAGCTGGAGTCTCACATTGTCACAGATGAGGATGATAACACTGACTCCAGAGTGAGCAGGACACATCTGTGCTAAAGAAAACTGATGGAGGCCAACTGAGTGTGGGTGGATGCTGGACTCCAGCCACAAAGACAACAGCTGGAAAAACATCTGACTACCTCTGACATCCACCAGCTCATCCATACAACAAACACACATCAACAACCAGGAAGCAGCTTCACCTCTGATCACACACACTCAGCTCTACTCACTCACCTGGAGGAACAACCAGGTATACGAAGCTGATGTTCATCCATGACCTTGTTTCATTCATGAACACACGACACATGTATGTTCCAGTGTCATTAATCGTCACGTTCTTCAGAATCAAAGACACGTCTCCACCCATCATCTGTGTGTCCTGCAGATCCACACGGTTCTTAAAAGATGGATGCTGGTGTGTTGAATCAGAGGGACCATGCTGGTACAAAAGCACATATTCTGGCTTCAGGTCAGATCTTGTCCAGTTTAAAACTGTAACTGTGTTGTTTGGAGCTCGACATGTCAGAGTGACGTCCTGTCCAGACTCAGCTGTGATGATCTTTGGGTCTGAAAGAGGAAACAACACAGAGCAGAGAGGTTAAAGGTCAAAGTACAATTATGATCAGAATGATTGACTTTAAATATTTTGTTTATTTCCTTTGACATTTGTGTTTTTAGTCATGTTGGATTTAATGAACCTCTGAACATCCAGGAGGTCACCAGTGACCCACTGAGGGGGAATTTTAGCCTCATGCTAAACATGCAAAGTGTCAGAAACTACAGGGTGGCCTTTTGTTGTGGGCAGTCTGAGGTACACCTGTGCACTACTCATGATGTCAGATCAGCATCCTGATGTGGCACACCTGTGAGGTGGGATGGATTATCTCAATATAGCAGATGTGCCCACTACCACACATTTGGACTGGTTTGTGACCACTGTTTGGGAGGGATGGTTATATTGTGTATCTGGAATGAATTTTAGGTCTCTACGTCCATCCCATGGGGAATGGGAGCAGTAACAAAGGTGTTGCGTTTATATTTTTGTTGAGTGTATATAGACATAGTATATTGTTACACACTTGTAAATGTCTCATTGGAGACTGGCACACACATTATTTTGCAACAACTAAATAATATAAAATATTTGAACCATCAGAACATTTTAACCAAATACAATATTGTAAATAAAAGATTACAGGGGCAGGGTGCCTTGTTTTTGTCGATAAAGCTTTTCATGTCCTTAAAAGTGCTATTTTTCTCCTGCTTAAAAATTTGGTTAGTGACAGTCCCTGGATAAGCAGAGGAAGATGGATGGACTAAATTTGCTTAGTCCATCCATCTTCTATAGAGCTGAGGTGTCAGATTCTGTGTAATATTATGCCACAATCCTGTCAGGAATCAGGATAATTTTGTTGTGTTTTACGCTTTGGAGGGACAAAATAACGTTAGGTCTGCTGGATTAAAAAATTATTTTGTGAGATCATGCTTATGTGAAACTAGTAGAGACGTTTCTACATAATACACACAGTTTGGACACAGCTTTTCATTTTTACTTCTTTTTACTTTATTTTTACTTCTTTATTTTGTAGATTGTTACTGAAGGCACCAAAACTCTAAATGAACACATGTGTAATTTTGTAGTAAAGAAAAAAGAATGAAATAACTATAAATAAATATGTTTGGTTATGTTTATGTTATATTTTTTTAAATAGTCAACCTTTGCTTTGATCACTGCTTTGCACACTCTTGGCACTCTGTTGAGGAACTTCATGAGGTATTCAGCTGTGTTAAGGAAGAAACGCTTTTATAAGGTTTGTGTTCAGCAGTCATTGATCAATGATTCCTCTTCCTGATTTGTTTGCTTGGTTTACATACCAAGCAAACATACTTTATATACATTAAAGTATATGTTCATATTTTACTCTTAATAGGAAAAGAACAAAATGTACTACTCGCTCTGTCTCTAGAAACAGGAAGTTCACCCTGTGACATTTACCGCAAGAGATTAACACACACGCGCGCGCGCGCACACACACACACACACACACACACACACACACACACACCTATGCAAAATTAAAGGAAACTGCTATGCTTGTTTCACCCTGCTTACTATAAATAAAGACAAACTACTGCAGCTCGGTGTGAGTGAGTCTCTCTCTGAGCTCTCACCCGTGCAGCACGTTAACTGTCTCCAAGTGTCTCAGTGTTGTTTATTCACCTAACTGTTTGATAACTGTAAATCTCTAACAACCTGAAATATTATTGTTATTATTATCTTAAAGTAATATTATTATTGCTTCTAGGCTGGACTAATGTAGTTCATTATTATCAGGATGTCCTAAAAACTAACTCCAAAGGCTGAGTGAGTTCTGAACAACCAAAAAGCTCAATCAGACCAATGTTTTGCCACTAAGCAACATCCTCCAGCAGAACTCTATGTATCAGGTTGGTCCTGATGCACAAACATGTTTTAGATGGACTCAGCGGTTTAACATTAAGCTGTTATTATGAAAGAAAAAACATTTTTCTCTGACAGCTTTTCTGAGAGATCTAATAAGATCCCAAACACATTGACCTCTTTGTAGAACATTATTAAATAAGCATATTATTTAACCTTTTAAACATTTTAAACACTGGGTTGTGAATAGAAGATGGAAAAACAAAACAACTAAAACAAAGAGAAAAACTACGCAGCACACAAACTCTGGAAAGGGGACCTTTATGTCACTGAGGACATTATTATGTATGCATTAATAAATAACTTAATAAAGATATTACACTCTTAATTTGTCGTTCTGTCACGGCTGGGGCGGCAGTCGTGTGGAGGGTGAGAAAGGAGGATCCAATAGCAGACAATGGCGGAGGTGCAAGTGGGTTTTATTTACAGTGCACAAAACCAAGGTGTGGGCAGAGCCGAACATAAACCTAAACTGGGAAACCTAATGCAAAAATGGAGGACATGAAGCGAGGAGCAGAGAGACACGAAGAAACATGGAACAGTGCAGACTACACGGGAGGTTCACAGAGAAATACAGACAACGCCACGAGAAGCAGACACCAACTATAAATACACACACCAGGTAATCAGGAAATGGCACACAGGAGGGGACACAGCTGGAACTAATGGGCATAACGAGACAGGGGAGAGGTAAAACTGAACACACTGACATGTGATATGAACTTTCAGAATAAAACAGGAAACAGAACCAGACAGGACACTGAACTTGACAGGCAGACTCATGAGCAGACACAATAACACCATGGACAGACAGAGGGAACACAGAGAAGTGGAAGCAGGCAGGCAAAGAACAGAAACCTAACAAATGGCAAAATCACAACAGAATACACACTCTGAATGAACAAAAGCATAAGGAAACACAAAACACTGAGTCCTCAGACTCAGGACCATGACAACTCTAAAGCAATAGGTAACCCAAGTTGTTTCAGTACCTTGCCATTCCGGGTTTCTAAACAGTTCCAATATCTTGGAATAAATGTCACTCAGGATTATTGTGGTTTATTTAAACACAATCTCTCTAAACTATATGATGAAACCAAAAATAACAGACAAATGGATTAATCTACCAATTTCACCAGCAGGGAGGATAAACATTGTTAGAATGAATATTCTTCCCAAATTCTTATTTTTATTTCAGTGTATCCCTATTGTGATTAATAAAGCCTTTTTTAATAAATTAGACTCCTTAATATCCTATTTCATATGGAACAGAAAGAATCCAAGAATCAAGAAAAGCTACCTGCAGAGACCGACATGTCAGGGAGGGATGGGGT